TATCAACAACAGACCTGAACCCTGTGCCATCCTCATCATCTCTGACACACTTTAGCCCATTGCTGCAAACATTATGTCAATGCATTCTGTTAAGGGTCTTCTTCTTTTTCGCCATCCTTCTACCTGTCCAAGCATGAAGTCCCTTTCCAATGAATAGTCCCTTCAAGAAACATGCCCGAAGTATGTGAGATGAAGTTTTATCATCTTTCCCTCCAAGGAGCACTGTTGTCCACCAAGGGCAAAGTATATTAATGATTAATAATGAGACAGAACACCAAGAATGTATAAGTAAACAGAAGTGAAGCAGGAGGTGAAGAGTTCGATCCCAGCTTCCCTGTGCCTTTATTGAAAATTGCCAGGAAGCAAATCACCAAGAGTATTCTATGCAAATGAAGCTAAGCTCTTTCTATTGAAAACCTTATGCTTGACTCAGGAGGGAGGGGTCAGCAAATACAAGAATCCTGTAAAAGCCTAAGGTTTGCCTTAGTGCCTACCCCTGTAAACATTTAAGGTTTGCCTTAGTGCTCAAGGGTGATTTCTAGTGTGTTTAGGTGCCTTCCTCATATCCTGATATAGCATTTGGTTTATTATAAATATTTAGTATGAAATTTGGCTTCCCACAGAGCACTCAGGCTGCACTTTCTCTAAGACATACCTGTTTGTTCTTTTGGCAGTCAGTGGAATATTCCATACTCTTCTCCAACACCACAACTCAAAGATATTGATTCTTCTTCTGTAATCTTTATTCATTGTCTAGCTCTCAAATGCATAGTAAATGATGGGAACGACTATGGCTGGAATTAGGTACATCTTAATCTTCAAACTGACATCATTGCTCCTCAGTAATTTGGAGAGGCCCCTGACTGCAGACTTGCTCAGTGTAATGTCTCCTGATGTCCTGACTGCTGGTACCAAGGGTGCTGACTGTAGATCCCAGAAAGATGAAATAGTTGACAATTACAGCCTTTTCTCCATCTATCAAAATGTTTCTGATTGGTCCAGTGGTGAGGATTTTTGTCTTCTTGATGTTGAGATGAAATTGCTGACAATTTCATCTTTATCATTCATGATGTTGCTTATCAGCCCAACGGTGAGGATTATTTTATCTTTTTGACATCGAGATGCAATCCATGCTTAAGGCTGTAGTTTTTAATTTCCCCCTGCAAATGCTTCAAGTCCTCTTCACTTTCAGCAAGCAAGGTTGAATCATCCACAGAACGCAGGTTATTGACGAATCTTCCCCTGTTCCTGATGCCACATTCTTCTTTATACAATCCAGTTTCTCTTATTATTTGCCTAGTGTAGAGATTGAATAGGTCTGGAGAGAGGGTACAACCCTAATTTTTAACCATACAATGTTACCTTGCTCAGTTTAGACAACATCTGCCTGGTCTAGGTATACGTTTTCTATGAGCATAAAGTGCTCTAGGACTCCCACACATCTCAAAGCTAGTTTGTCCTGATATATATGTGTGTGTCATTCTTTTGAGTGAAACCCAGCTCCTGGATGACCCTCCAACTCCTAAGTGACCCTCCAGTGGGTTCTCAGAGACTGCGAGTCGTGTGGGGAGATTGCCTGGATTTCTCCCATGGGTCAGTTGCTGGTTTGACCATCTGCCTTTGAGCTGGAAGCACAGCCAGAGGGAACAGAGCTGCTCTCTCCAGTTTGTGACATTAATAACCACGCACGCGCTGTGACCACACCTTCCCACTTGCCCCTGGAGTGCTTCTTTCTTCAGTGATAGTGTGTTTGTCATTCGTTCTCTTCCCCTTCCCCATCTGAATGTATCTCTGTTATCTAGCGTTGTCTGATGTTTTTATGTGTGGTTGAGTTGGAATCCACTCAGCTGGCCTTCCAGCCAGATTTCAGAGGCTGTAGCTCACACAGGAGGAGAATGACCTTCTTTCTAACGCAGAGCAGCTGGTGAGTTAAAACCATAAGACTTTGCATTGGCAGCTCAGCTAAGCCACCAGAGTATCTAGTATCATTTCTGATAGTTTACCTCTTCTGTCCCATTTCCATCGCTTTTGATGCATCCTGCGTTATTAAATATTTTGCCCACAGAGTGCTCCCGTACTGCAGTTCAAGGCCTGATATTTTTTTTGTCATTGTTGTTTTGGGGGGAGGTGCCCGTCTCTTTTGGGTTTCTAACTCTTGGACTTTGTGCATTTCATTACTTTGCTGCCTTCTTGAGTTGCCCCTGAAGATCTTGCTCTCAGCTCCCTTACCTCATTTCTCCCCTTGCTTCAGCATCTCTGCTTCTAGTGAGTTCCAGAGCCTGCTCTGACATCCACTCTGCCTTTTCTTTATTTTCTTTTCTAAATGATGGCTTTCTTCATACAAAACACGTCATAGTTCATCTTGCCTTAATAACCCGTGCTCAGTGCATTAAATTTGTTCTTTAAATGACCTCTGGGTTCAGATGGGGAATAGATTAAAGGCTTAAATTTCCTATCAGTTCATGGGAGCAATTAGTGGTCTGTTCCTGAGTCAGCCCCTGGCTTTGTTCTCACTGATGATACTGAGATTTTCCACATCTCTTGCCACACGTGGAGTTGACACGATTCTTGTGTGTTCCATCTGGTGAGGTAAATATATTTTCAACATCTAGGTTTGTTTTGTTTTAAAGGTATTTGAAATGGTTAAGTTGTGATTGTTATGTGCTATTGAGTCACCTGTAACTCCTAGAAACCCTGTGCACAATAGCTGTGAATGTTGCCCTATCCTGAGCCAGTCTCTCTCTCCGACACACCTGGCCCCATTGCCCCACGCACTGTGTCATCTGGGGTCTTCCTCTCCTGTGCTGTCCCTCCATCCTTCCAAGCATGGTGTCGCTCTCCAAGGACTGGTCGGTCCCTCCTGATCACATGCCCAAAGTATGTGAGACAGAGTTTCAGAATCCTTGCCTCCAGGGAACAGCCTGATCTCAACTTCTCCAGGACCAACCTGGTTGTTCTCCTGGCAGACCATGGAATATTCAGCACTCTTCTCCAGCACCACAGCTCAAAGGCATCAATTTTTCTTATGTCACTTGCCCAGCTCCCTGACGTGTGGCATGTAACTGTGGTAAGGGGCTGCACTGCAATCCCAAAGGTGCTTGGTTTGAATCCATAGAAAGAGGCCAGTTGCCTCCTCTGTGAATAAGTTATTAGTCGTCCAGATTTTCTCATGCAATTTCTGATTTTGTGATCATCATCTAGCTTTTGCTTTTTGAAACTTTAAAGAGGTCTTCTGAAACACTTTTATCCCACACATTTTACTTATGTATGTGTTTTGGCTAGTGTTTTCTTTGGTTATGGTGTGGATGGACTTTCTTCAGTTGTGATTTGGGTGAAAGTTAGGAGAGAAAGTTCGTTTTCCATCAGCAGGTCATGCACACAATTCCCTCCACATGGTACCACTCTCCCCACTCTCTCCTGGTGTGTCCCTTTTCCACTCCTCCTTCTCACCTTCCAAAACCTGCTTTCTGAGCCTGTTTTGGAAAAAATGCTGCCCTTTCATTCTCTCGAGGTTGGTGGCTCTGAGGACCATGGCCATCCCCAGGCCTGTCAGTAGGGAGTGGAAGGCAACATTGTTTGATTTGTGACGGTGGCTTCTGTGGGTGTTGATTGTGGCTCCAAGAAGAACAGAACTGACAATTTCCATTTCTTCTCCATCCTAAACTGTGGGAGCATGTCCCTGGGATGATCTGACCTGTCATTTCAGCCCGTGGTGGCCTGTGGTGACCTGTGACTGTTGACCTGTGGTGGCCTGTAGTGGCTTGTAGTGACCTGTGGTGACCGGTCATGACCTGTATTGCCCTGTGCTGGCCTGTGGCACTCATGCTCTCTCCTTTAGGCAGTGTTTCTGTGAGGAAGGTAACTACCTGGAAGGTGGTCTGGATGTGCATGCACGGACCTCTTCTGTTCCAGAAGGATCCGGTGACACCTGAGTCACTTGCATTTCATGGAATCACCTCTGTCCCCACCTGTCCTGTTACAGCTCCAGGTGCGGCCCCCCGACCTGGCAGAGTGCGGCTGAGCATGGGGACCCTCCGCAGCCAGAAGGCAGTGCACCGGACAGGTAGGTCATCCTGGGTGGTCCACACGAGGCACGGCCATCACTGTCCTGTGGCCCAGCCTTCAGTCCCGTGGGGATTGGATGGGAGCAGCAGGGCGGAGGTCCTGGTTCTGGAAGTTTGGTCCAGGAGCCTGTGTTTCCACCCTGGTCTGAGGGCTGGTCAGCCTGCAGCGGCTGCGCTGCGGTCATGAGGGCATCCGTGGATTGCCTCATAGGCAGAAGGAGACCCACATGGCACAGCCTGGGAGGGGCTTCCAGGAGGGGTGTGTGGGGCAGGGAGAGATGGGATCCTAGGAGCAGCGTTCTGACCAGAGAGAGGGTCATGAGTGGCTCTAGAGGTGGGAGGATTTTCCTGGGGTAAATGGGGTGACTGCCTGGTTTAACTCTCTCCAGGATGAATGTTTGTTTTCTTGGCAGTCCATGGTACCCTCAATTCTCTTCTCTAGCACCACAGCTCAAAAGCATCAATCCTCCTTCTATCCTCCCTAGTCATTGTGCAACTCTCTGATGCATAACAAGTGATAGCAAAGACCATAGCCTGTATCAGTCGCACCTTAGTCTCCAGAGAGACACTACTGCTCTTCAGTACCCTGGAGAGATCCCTAACAGCAGACTTTCCCATCGCAATACGTTTTTTTATTTCCTGGCTGCTGGTGCCAAGAGTGTTAACCGTGGTCCTTGGAGAGGGACATCATGCTTGGGAGGGTGGAGGGACGGCGCAGGAGGGGAAGACCCTTTGGGAGGTGGATTGATTCAGTGACTGGGATAATCGGGATGGGAGTGTCAGAAACAGTGCGATTGGCACAGGACATAGCAGAGTTTAGGGCTGTTGTACACAGGGTTGCTATGAGTTGCAAGTGACTCGATGGCACACAACAACAAATGGGGAGACACAGGAAGAGCCAGGCAGAGGCTGACCTCCCCCTGGTCTGCAGACCTGAGCCTGACGCTGCTGGCCGTGCGCAGGAGGAGTGGCCAGCCGGACCCTGAGCTGCAGCAGGCACTGCGCGCACGGCTCCGGCTACTGGAGAACGACACCCAGGAGGTGGCCCGAGTGCTCGGAGTGAGTGCGCCTGGAGGCGGGGCAGGGGCTGAGGATGAGGGGAAGACACAGCTGGGGAGGGACCTCAGAGTGTGGCCACAGAGCAGGGGAGGGGGTCACAAAGGAGAGGCGGGGCCACAATGGAGGGGCGGGGCTACAGAGGGGGCGGGTCACAGAAGAGGGATGGGCCCATGGGG